TCTTGACTAGAGTTTTTAAGTTCCTCATAAAATCACTGTGAGCTAGACCCAGGAGGGCACTTTCATTTCCATAAATGAAAATTTCTGKTGCTGATGAATCCCGAAAAGAAGTAGCAATTTGTTATATAATGAGAACATTTTGARTAAAACTGTTCCAAGAAATGTCAGGTGGGTACCCTCTACTAATGAAAAAATATTGCCACTGTCTAGCCAAAGTTCAGTTTAATATTGACCTGCTTCTTAGGATCAGTTTTCTCAGGGACATGAAAATTACCCATTGAGAAGCCAGCACATTTCTGTTTATCCTAATGCCATGAATAGCCAAATGTACCTAAGCTTAAGTGTCTAACCTTCAGTCCTTTAGCATTTCATGGTAGAAAAAAGAAAGATGTTGTTTATATCAGGAGTGGGAGGATTCCACAGCAGGGAAATACCAACTGTTCCGATAAAGGATGTTCTCGAGCCTTGCTTGTATCTTCTACAAAATCATGATATTCYTTCCCCACTGGTCTTGGTTATCCACTGTTGGATATCCAGAGGTGCTATTCCTTTTCCTTCAGGTGTGTTGCAATGTAGAAAATCACTTTTATCCAGTCTGGATATCCAGTTATGTCTCCGGTCTCAATTCCAACCTGTCAAAGATGCAGAAGCTGCATCACAGGCATCATATGGGACTTCATAAATATTTCTTGCCACAAATCAAACAATTTTAGGACATGATTTGCCTGACTGGCATACTGCTTGATTCCCTTTGGAATCAAGCTTCAGCTGCTGTGCAAGAACAAGACAGGACTTTAGCAAAATGGCTTTTCTTGAAGTCATAAAATTGCATGTGTATGTGTGGGTCAGGTTAGGAATTTTTGGCAATCCTCTTTTAAATTTGTGGAACTGTCAGGAGGATAACTGAGTGCCCAAGTAACAGATCATTAGCTACTTTTTTGTTGTTGTCTTTATTGGCTGCTAATGATCGTAATGTAGGTGGCACTGCTTTTACCAAGCATAGAGAATAGTTTGAGACAAAGAAATACACTTGCTGCAGGAAGAATGATTTAGAACAGAGGTTAATAAAATAATCTACRTACTATAAATACTAAAACAAGCAAAACATGTATGAGAGACAGAAAGATTATTACAGTATAAGTCAAAGCAGAATAATAACAAAGGGAAGAAAAATGAGGCATGTTGTTTTCATCTTCTATGTATTATATGATATTCCCTTCCAAATTTCATAAATAAATATTTATATTAAAAAATAGACCAACTATACTCCAGATATATGATAAGCATGAAGATTAGACTGTAATGAAACCAGACTAAAGTATTTGTTTATTTATTGTTTTCCCTCAAGCTGTTCTAAAGTGGCCATAAAAGTATACAGCTCAAAGTATTACATCAATCATCTGTGTTTTTTCAGACTAGAAACCATACACTTGGAACAATTTCTGCTCGGCAATGTCTATAATACACTGAAGCCCTAATACCTTGCTAATCAGCACCGTACTAATTAGCTCATGACAAGAATTTTAATTAGATGCACAGTAGGTGTTTTCCCTACCGACATGGGATAAGTTATTTCCTTGGGAAAAAGTGAAGGGAAAAAGGTAGTGGAGAAAATCAATAGGACATGAATCTAATCTAATCCCTGGTACATGAAGAGTGTACATGAATTAATACTTTTCAAAGTTATGTCTTTCATAATTTCTTCTGTGAAATATATTGAGGTTCACTTTGTGATTTCTTCTGTGAAATATATTGAGGTTCACTTTGTGATTTCCTCTTTTTTACTATAGAGCAAAATGAACTTTTTTTTTCCTGTGAATTGTCATCTGTTAGTGCAAGAAAGGAAATACTGGAACAGGAGTCAAAGAGTCAGTTATGCTCATGGGCAGCCCGGAGCTGAGGGCATCCCATGCTCAAAGCCTGAATCTCTGTAACTGGAGTGAAGAAGCTGCGCTGTGTACCTGGGAGCTGGGATTAGGAACAAGGCTGAAAGGGAAGATACATAACACCTAATGAGCAATATTGCTAGTAACACCTAATGAGCAATATTGCTAGGTTAGCTTTGGCCCTGGCACATTCTGGGGTTAAAAATGCATTAAAAGTGATTGGAAGACCTAGATGAGTGAATTCCTGTCGATAGAGACTCAAAAATAACCATATTGATGAACATTTTTCTTCTATCAGAACAGGATGCAGAGGAGGTATAGGAGATATTTATCTGAAATTACTGCCACCCATTAGTTCTCATTAGCTTAATGGCATACATCCTGTTGCATGGCATTTCAAGATTGTCATTTGCGGGAAAGCCTATTTTAAAATCTCTCTGCAACATACCTGGTACAATTAGATCCTTAAATATGTAAGCACAATGCCTGTAAATAATTGTAAAACCTGGCCACAGCTATGAGAGTAAAACATTCCCGTGTAATTAGGTCCTTGTCTTTGAAGAGCTACCACATAAAAGGATGTGGGAGACGTGGTGCTTTGCTGTTTTGCTGCATTAGCCTCCCTTTGTGAGGAACCATTGTGAGGCCCCTTAATCTGTGTCTGTTTCCACAACTGTGGAAATGCTATGGAGCAGATTATGGGGCATGCTGAAAAACCATAACTAGGTCCAGGAAAAATCTTCATCTAAAGAGATATAACCAGCAATAAAAATAAGGGGAGGACAAATTACACTAAAAGGAAAACCAGCTAATGATTTTTATCGCATTGAAAGAACACTGTAGCAATGAGCCCACTGAAGGAAACTGARGTTTTGCTGTACAACTTATATTATTTTAGAAGAGTACAATTTTTACTTGATTTTGGTAGTGTTTTTTTTTTTCCACACAGTGAATATGGCCACAGATCAGCACCCCTTTTGCATTTGTTTTCTGTAACAACTCTATCAAGCTTGCACTTGAATGTCTGAGAGACAAGAGATTGATGAGTGTTTGAGAACATTTGTGGAGTGAAAAGAGCAAATGAGCAACTGGACAAAAATCTGTTAGATTTAAGAGTAAATTGTATGAGGAAACTGAAATGCAATGGTTGTGCCCAAACAAAATGAACCGGTCTTGATCAATTCATACAAGCAGTACATTGTTTGAAAGCTAGTTGTATGTTGTTTGTAGAATAACTSTGCATACAGGACAAGTCAGAGAAAATCATACTGGCTTGCAGACCATAATACCACTAATAAAAATTATTCCAAAAATGGATTTGCTCTGGAGTGTTCCCTCAACTGTCTTTCTTGGTGGAAGACATAGTCTTTTTAGAGGGTTTTGTTATCCTACCTGAGCTATGAGATTTGCTGATTTACTGCAGCAAATTTTTCGACTACTCCAAGTTCAATTAGAAATGCAAGGAGCTGGGGAGCCCAGGCCAGGGTTAATGGGATTATACCATATTTCATCTTTTATTGGCAGTGATTTAGAGCTGATCCACGTTAAAAAAAAAAAAAAAACCCTACTACTTCTTGCTCCCTAGTTGGTATGCCGGTGGTGCATCTGAGTGGGAGCGTTTTGCAGATGGATGTGAGGCTTCCCTGACACCAAGACGTGACCTTGCCGTGGCTGGGGGGCTGAGTGGCTGCTTCAGTAAAGTGYATTACGGAGGGCTGGGATCTCTGCAGAGGGGCAGCACGTATTGACAGAGGGTTAATGCAGCGCTGCCCTCCTCCKTGTCGCTCCTGGCCGAGTTAGGGCTCAGGAGCGAGCTGGGATCTACCTGCAAACTGAGGCCTTGGGCCGCTTCCCAGCGGGACTGCCGCTCACATTGTGTCCACCCTAAAGAGCACTTCAGTGGAGCCYGTATCAGTGCTTTCAGGAGTAAATAGGCTATTTGGAAAAGACGGGTATAATGTACCAGCACTTCACTTGAACAGTGCATTTTGGAAAAAAAGGAAAGAAAAAAAAGAAAATAAAGGCTCTTAYGTGACTGATTTTTTTTCACTGATAAATGAAAGGAAACTGGTCTTCTATCCTGAGTCCTTTGGTGAGGCAGATGGTAAACATCAGCATCCAGTACTGGTAGCGTTCCTGTGAAATACGTATGTGGGTTTGCCATGGGAGACATTGGAATATTTTGGACTGCATGCATCTGCACAACATCTGCCTTTTATCTTGGGTGGCCAAACTGTATTTTATATAAACTAGTTGAGATAAGGATGTAGATTTAAAATGTGGGTCAGAAGTCCTTTCAGATTTGGCAGATAGGGAAGGACATAGGTTTGCTGGAGTACTTATCTATAGGAAGTTCTGGAGGGTGCTCTGTCTTCATTTTCAAAGAGCTACTGAATATGCTCATTTTCACTCTGAAGTCTTTTACGGCTTGAATAGAAGAAGCCATCTCTGTTCTAGTTGCTGTATCCAGCTGTAGCCCTCTTAATAGTGCTTGCAAGATTTGTATATGTGAGTACGGAGGGAAGAAAATATTCTTGCTGCTGAGCTTTTTATTGAAATTAATTTAATCAGAGCCATACTGTGTTGAATTTGAGTAACTATTGAATTTGAGTGACTATTTCAAGGGTAGTTACTTGAGTAAACAGAGGCTATTATATTGAGGAGTATGGATTTAGTTGCCCTTGTGTCATTTTTTTTCTGTCTCCTCTGTCTAGAATTGTCTAGAAAAGCATTTTCTAAACTGTAAAATAATTTCTGAATCTTTTATGATTCCTTCTTTCTTACATAATTTAAACTAAAGATTCCTTCTTAAGAAAACATAAACTGAGTTTTGGAGCTCATGTTATGTAAGTCAGTTAGTTACATCAACCAGAAAAACTGAACATTGCCTTTGGGAGAGGAAGAGAGGGAAAACAAATGTTTGAAAGCAGAAACTAGGGAACAGAGGACAATTTTGGGACCAGCTTCCCCTGAAACCACTCCACAGAGAGGCTGGCAAATGGCACTGTGTACACATAAACCTAAAAGGTTTACCAGAATCCATTATGAATATTTAGGTATGTGTTTTTCATCTGGGAATAATTCTCAATGTTTTATATAATTTTGTCTTCCAGAATGATTGAAGATTGTGGGAAAAGAGGAAATACCATGGCAGAAAGAAGGCAGCTGTTTGCAGAAATGCGTAAGTACTTCCTAGACATGTTTCACTGTGATAGATCAAGCCAGTTGCACTGCAGTGTCAGTAAAAATTATGCAAACTTTGCATTCCAAGCATCTGACATCTCAATTTCACAAATGCTTTTGATATTTTGTAACCAACGCTACAGGAAAATGGACTTATTTGACCAAATAGTAGGGAAGAGGTTTTTTCTACACCAGCTTCAGTGACTGTATTCATTTAATCAATGGTCTCTTGAGCCCAAAATGAAGGTCTCATATACCACATATCCCACTTCTTCAGTATTATTTTTTATTGTTTCTAGTGAAGCTGTGTGTTCCTTGCAGAATAATATGTTATGGGTATACTATATTAATCAGAATTCGTGCGCTTTTAGCAGTCTTCATGTGTATTACTTTTCATGCAATGAAAATCATTTTCAAGCAGGTTGTGTGTATATGTGTGAGGTTTGAGACGGGCACCCTTTTACAAGATTTATGTAAGCTTTGTCTGTAATTATGAAGTCTCCTATTATTTATGGTTTGCAATATAGTAAAAACGACACAACAGTGGTACTTTGATTGTTATGAATATTTATTTTTTGAAATATGTATTAGAGTTAACACTAGACACAGGTTACGCAGATCTATGCTGTTTGCCAAAATTTTGATTCTTAGAACTTTAAGATACAAAGCAAARAGGAGCAAAATTAAAGGAGCAAAGTTTCCAGAGCTGCTTCTCTGAAATATGAGAGGTTTTGGAGAATCCATCCGTTTAAGATCTTGCCTCTTAATTTTAAAATTTGCAAATAATCTACATGTTTTAAACATTCAGGTGACTACCACTTCACAGAACAGCCAGGAAGACTTTGCATAGGCACTGGTATAGGTTTTGTATAGACTCTTTCTCAAACAGGACAGAATTCCTCTTTTTTTTTTTTTTGTTTTCTTTCTGATTCTTTGTCGTCCTTTGGGAGAAACTGAGCAGAGCGTTAATGAGACTTGGACAACTGTGTACATTAAAAGGCAAGGTCTGTGCAGGAGAGTCAAGGGAGTCAAATGTGCTCAGAACTTCTTCTCCAGAAGTGAGCCCCAGCACAACATAACGACCTGCATCTGTGCTCCTAAGCCCTCCGAAATGAAGAATCCATATTCAGATGGCCTGTTGAAAATGGTCCAGCTTTGCTGGAGAACATCTGAACAGCGTTGCAAGTTGGGTGATGAAGTCAAGTGCCTGTGCAGCAGAGAGGTGCCTATATGTCTGCTAGCTCTGCTGTGTCCTCTACACATTACAGTGTCATACAAAGTTTACTGATGTAACTCAYTGGGATATTCCCCTGGCTCCTCTCTACAAAGTCTTAGGCCAATGGAGGGAAGAGTGTTTTTTGGCCAGAAACAAAAAAATRAGAGTCATGCACTGTCAGAATGTGCTATACTTTAATTAGAGTTATATAAAGGACTTGATCTTGTAGCAGCTCAAGTCAAGGACAACCCTCCGGTTAACTTTGGTTAGTTTGAAATGCTCCTAAAACAGAAACTAGTTTATACTTGCCAGAGAATTTGCTGTGAGGTTTTATGGTGGTTTGCTCCTGCAGTTTTGAAGGCTGTTTTGCAGTTTTGGGTTGCTTTGGGGGAATGAGGAGGAAGTTATGTGAATTTACAGTGAGCAACTGGAGAAGTAGGAGGGATTATTTTTCTGTACTGCACACAAAGGACTATTTTCTACTATTTTTTTCTTTCACATTTTTAGTATTTTGACATATTTTGTCCTGTGTGCTATCCTTTCCCATTTGCCTGCCTCCCTTCYTCCTCTTCCTGTATATGCACAAATTGAATCAGACTTCAGCTACAGAAAAAATAGGATTTGTGGAAGACTAGACATGTCTGAGACATTCAGGAAATGCTCATTTGTGTTTTTTAAAGAGTCCCTTCAGTTCCTGTGCTTTAAAGAGCGTGTTTGACTGAAACAGAAGTTCATCCTTCTGTCATGGCACTCAGGTTCCCTCAGCTGTGTGAAACCCCACGAAATCGATGTTTACCACGAAGCATGTGCTCCATGTGCCCTACATACTGTGTGGGTCGTGCAGAGTTCCTCAGCACTGTAACAGATATAAGCTTCTGATGAAAAAGTTAGACTGCACAACCTGCCAATATCAGAGCAAGAAAAAAATGTGTGTGACAGACGACTTCGCTGGTGTTTGTGGTTCTTACCTAAACTATGAGTCTGTAGACTCCTTGCCCAGACTATGGTAAATAAAATCCCACAATGTTTTTAGAAAGCAGAACAAGTTCCAGGCTACATAAGATAGCAAAAACACCTGCCTATTCCTGTCTTTCTAAATAGGAAGCCTGTTCTGTAGTAAATGACTTTAACTTTTAGGCAGTGAGTGAGCTGTCCTTTCTGCAGACCAGTTTATTTTTTTTTCTGCGGAAGGCTTGTCACTTTACCTGCAAGACATAAACCTTTGTGAGTTAGTATCATAAGCAGTATCATCTACAGAGTCATGTGGTCAAAGTTTAGATTATGTCTTATATCTCAAAATATGCCTCTGAATGTCAAAATCAATAGGCTACATCTAGACTTACCTGCCATGCGCATACTACTGCCTGCTCTGATAAAAAGACTTCAAAATATACATTGTTATTGTGCTGCCAAAACATATTATCCACTACAAAAACAGTAGTGAAACCTTGCAATGTAGGAGAGAGGAATATTCAAAAAAACAGAGAAATACTGCCATGGAGCAAAGAAGGTGAGTGAACACACTGGCGATCCTGTAGGCAAGTTACAAATTCTGAGTTTCATTTGTCCTGTTTGATCCCACACAGCTTTTCACTTCTTTTTGGGTACTCTCCATGTAATTGAAGTCATTTTTCTGCAGAAGTTATTTGATAAATAGATCTCAGACTGTGGCAAAACAAGATTAATTTAAGTATAAAGATGTAGCAATAGTACTTATCTGTTGTGTTCCTGGGATTTATCAACAAAAACACCTACTCCTAAAATAATACAGTCCCCAATTGTATGTGCAAATAGTAAAAATAGCAATGTTATTGCCTACAGATTCATTAATTTGTGTTTAATACCGCCTCCAAGAAAATACGTTGAGCCAGAGTCACACTTTTCTTTGAATCTTGGCATCTCATTAAAGGCTAAAGTCCTATAAAGAAGCACTAAAAGCTCTATTTCTAGCTTTCACATTAAAAAGGGAAAAGTTGCATTCATGTTACACATTGGTCCTATCAAAAAAGTAAAGACGTAATGTTACAAGCATTATTTCCCTCTCTTCCAGAAAAGGCATTTTTTTGAGAAACTGTCAAAAAGATCCTAATGAAGAAGAGAGAAACCACATAATTTAATAATAAAGAATATGATGAGAAAAAATAAGAATCCTTCCAGACCTGATGTTAAGTAGTTGAGGGTAGCCTCTTCCAGGAACAGATGGTGTAAAGACAGCCAACTGGCAAAAGGAAGTACATGAGAGCCCTGGGATGATGGTGTGGGAGAATCCAGTCAGGAAAAGAGCAGAGTCTGAGGAGGGGGAAGAACATAATTCTCATTTTCATCTCACAGGGCAGAGCGCACTTGAAATGTTTGGGTCCAGAGGATGCCAGATTGGTCAAGAATGTGGGTGAATGAAGCCGGCCTGGCCATATGCACAACAGGGGGGCTGAGTGGCTAGTCTCATAATATCAAGATGAATCTCAAAAAATGCATTTGAGAAATGTGTTTAAAGACAAAATAGGGCCATCTTTYACTGCCCGCTACTCGGAGGTTAAGGGTCCCCTTTGGTGTGGTTCACGTGGACAGTTCTTCAAGAGGCTCTGATATTTGTAGCTCAGTGCCTTTYCACAGAGGAGGTTGCTCCACTGAGGAAAACATTTGTTTTCTCTTATTATAGGGGCAATCCTAGTGAACAAACAAGCAGGCAACATTTTAWTTGAATGTGTGTCTGAAATATGCTATGTGGAGTGATATGTAATAAGCGGTCCTGCATTTCACAGGCTACACGGTAGCTATGTAACAACTCTCCCCTGTGTAAAACACACCAGCTGCAAAGAGAAGCATTTAAATAACAGTCTCCTCCTCTACTTTTTAAGGGCTTTATGGAAAGCTTTATGAATGATACGTAGCAGCGGGATACCTTAAGGCACCAGTGTCAGATGCTGCCCCGTGCTCTGGTCCCTCTGTAGCCACCAGGAGCAGTGCAGTGGACCCCTACACCCCGTATATGTTTGGACTCAATGATCTATGGTTGGACTCAATGATCTTGAAAGACTTTTCCAACCATAATGATTCTGTGATTCTGTCTCCTCCCAAGCCTGCCCACCCAAGCCTGCCCAGTGTTAGATGGGGTGGGCAGGAAAGGGCAACCCCACAGCCCAGCTCAGTGTCTCGAATACCCATGGCCTGGACATCAGCTTTGGAAGCTTTGCCAGGTCTCTAAGTTGGAGCAGCTGGGGCCAAGCCATGTATGAGCCTGGAGCTGCCTCTCYGAGGTCCCCCATGCAGCAATTGTATCACTCACAGTGTTTCCCGCCCCTTCCTAGTTTCCTTTAGCTCTTTTAGCTCTGGTGTGATGCRTTTTCTAATGCGGTCTGCTGGCAGTATCTTGTTTTGTAGTGGCATGTCAGCTGAAGGTATCTGTCTTGATCTTTGTTGTTAAATATTAAAATTAGAGGGAGGATGTCCCTGCTGTTGGAGCCTGGCCAGTGTGTCTTTTAGCCTGCAGCTTGACCAGATTGCTCCTCAAAGTGACAGACGCAGTGGGCTGTCTGTTCCCTGCCTTCCTCCCTAAAAGTCGTTTTCCCTGCCACTGTCACTGTTATTCTCTTCCACTAGGGGCTCAAGATCTGGATCGCATTCGCTTATCCACCTACAGAACAGCATGCAAGCTCAGATTTGTTCAGAAGAAATGCAACTGTAAGTACGGCAGCGTTTCCTCCCGGTTGCCGTCAGCGTTACCTGCCCGCTGCACTCACGTTCTGCCCTCCAGCTCCATCACCAGATCATCCATGGCCAAAAGCACTAACCAGAGGGCCTGGAGAGCTTTGAAATGTTGAAGTGTTTGTGATACAAGGGTCTTGCTTCAAACATGATAAAGATTTCAGTTGCACAAGGGTGGGTCATGATGCAGACCACAGCTTTAATTAATGAAGCATATTGACAACATTGTTTAATTTTCTTGTAAATAAGGGTTTATCAATATCCTGCAAATTAAGCACTTTTTTATAGCAGCTGTACGGAGGACAAATGGTGTTTATAGTTCTCCTCTATGTGGGGTGCCGAAAGGTAAGTGAGATGTCAACCTCTTTCTTTCCTAAAGGCCACCAAGAGAGACCTCTTTGAAGAGGATGAAGCTGCTCATAATCTCAACATGACTCTCTTCTTCCTTTTAGTTTTGCTCCTAAGACGTTTCCCCCTTGATAAGTGGGAAACTTACTTTTATCTTCTAAGATTCAATGTTTCTTCCTTTCCAGTTATGGCATCTATTAGCACATTTATGAGAAGAGCTATGAATTTTGAAGTGGAAATAAACATAAAACATTTAGTGGATTATGTCATTTGTTCTCCATTCTATTTTGCAAACACTTAGAATGGTGGATTTTATGTGTTTTAGTAGACCTTTCCATACAAAGTTTAAAAAGCTCCAAACCAGGGGAAGTCATGTCAGCAGTATCAGCAGCGAGAGGACTAATGAAAAGGAAATCAGGAGTCCGTCGGTTATTTTAGCTTTTGTGTCTAAGCTGGAGTGACAGCCTGCCCGCCCCCGTGCTGCTCACAGTAGTAAGAACAAGTGTTTGGTGTGGCTAGGGTTTAGCAGCTCGTGAGAGAGTGCCTGGCTTTGAGGTCACATCTGTTTGCCTCACAGAAAATGTTTATGCTGTCCAAACATACTGGGGAGACCAAGCCGCGAGGAAAAGCACTTGGAGAGTATTTATTAGGTTATTTATTACCCACAGAATTAGCCTTTCAATCACTTCTCTGGTATATATTAGTTATTTTTAATGTGTGTTTAACCAAAGTATGAGTTGGAGGGGTAGTATCACAGAGCAAGATGCAAAACTTTGGAGGCGGGAGGACCTGCCYAGCCGCAGACTTCATTTCAACAAAAATCTCATCCCAAGTATTAGGCTCTCTGCAGCCTTAGGAATAACTCCAGTTGTTCTGCAATGGCTGAATTATGTACTTCTCTTTCACTGTAAGCTACAGTTTTCTTCTCTGCTTCTGCAAGGCTGCTGTTCTCCCACATGACACTGTGTTGTTAGCAAGGGGAGAAGTCACTCATCTACCTGGGCTGCTTTCAAGCTCTGCACAGTGGCTGTGCAAGGCATGACTTCTAGACAGAACTACCCTACCAAGTACTGGCCCAGCCAGAGTGCAGACAGACCTTTGGCCAACGCAGCTACTCCGTGGGTTTCTTTTTTACTTTCTCCCTTACAGAAATTGCCATAATGCACCACCCAGTAGTAGGTTCAGGGAAAAAAATCAAAGAGAGTAGCACAGGGTAAAAAAAAAGGTTCTTCCTGCTGTGTCTGAGCCGCTTCATTTAATAGGAACTATAAAAAGAAAAATGTCAAAGGCTAGTAGTGTAGAGCACCTCTGGTCACTCAGGCCATCTTTGGCTTCTTTCAGCTGTGCTCTTCTGCTCTGCTCTTCCTTCACTAGCTTTTCTCTAACTCATGCCAGGTGAGATTTACTGGGAAAAATTGCTTGGAGAAATTGTATTTAAGGGATTCTTTTAATTTAATAAATAGCAGGGAGCTACTCTTGGCTGCATCCTGAAAGCATGTAAGGACGGAAGCAGGGAGCAGCTTCAAATATCTGAAGTGTCAGTGCCAAGAAAAGTAGAGTTTTAYTTATTACCAACATCTCTTTTACCCAAAAAGTACATATTAGCAGAGAGTGGTGTGCGATTGTCCTAGGATATCRCAGAGCGGACAGCTACATTTAGAGCAAGCCATGTGATGTTTGCTTCACTTGTCTTCAGTGCAAGCAGGTTCACTTCCCGTTCTTCCTTGGTGAATTTATTCAAAAATGCTTTGCTGAAACTTTCATTGGCAGGGTGGGTTTTACTGGTGAGTTAGGGAGTGTGTAATGGGCAAGAATATACTTGGATATTCAAAGAGCCATTCTTTCTAGCAATAAGTCTCCTTAAGTTTGTTAAACCATGTAGCCAAAGTTTATAGAACAGATAGCAAGTTAAAAAAAAAATCACTACTTATGCTGTACACTGAATGCCAATGCTGCTGATTAAATCAATTGTTCTATCATATTAGAAGTACTCACATGCAGTTAGTTTTGGCACAAGAAAGATAACTTTAAAGATATTTATTAAACATTCTCCAAACTTACAAATATGTGCCATCACGATAATTCTGTAAAACCTTCGGAAAACTACTGTGTATGTGGAAAGAATTTTTTTAATAAAAATCTCTCTGAGAATTTAAATCAACAGACAGTTTAAATAAAATCAGTGRGGTGAGAAAAAATCAATATCAGTCATTGTAATTACTAAACAGGATAAAATTGAATCCAGTCTAGCCTTATTCCTCAGAGAAGCGAGACATTTTTCGTAAGAACTCAGAACATGATTATTAGATAAATTTGAAAAAATTACAGTGTTGATCTTTTAAAGAAGTTTCTTTCAGATATAAGCATTCCTCTTTTCCTACAAATAAATAACAATAACATTTACAAATTATTTACTGACACACTTTGGAGTCTGCCAGGCCCTAAATGTAGGACGCACTATGTGGAAAAATCCCAAGAAGCAAGAGACCCACAAAACTGTACATGTAGGAATCCTAAAGCTGAGAAGGTTTATTAGCATAGTGTGAATAAAAAACTCATTTTATGCTTCTCTGTTTCTACTGACAGTTTCAGTGAGTAGGTCTTCTCTTAGTCATGCAGATTAACTCAAGCTGTGCATACCTCATATGTTAAAGAAAGGGGGGAAAAAAGTCTTGAGAAGACCCCAAGGTTGTCCCATGAATAATTCCAAATGAGAACCAATGCCATGGGAAGGAAAGCCTGGAAGAAATCCCTGCTGGTCATGACATCATCTTCAGGCCTGAGAATGGAAAACTAGATAGGAGTGGGAGAGCTGCCTGTGACTGCTCCTGTGGCTCACTAATGTAGTCTCGGAAACAACAGAACTCTGATGATTTGGGCACTGATTTGGGAATTTTTGTTATTTGGGGAAAAAAAAAAAAAAAACAGAGAGCAAGCAGGTGCAGAAACTTGACCAAAAGTAGCACGTGTTTATCTCAGTGTGTACAGTGCAATGTGTGGATAGCTGACTTCACCAGCTAGAGCTTCTATACGCACTGCAGAGGTRGCCTAAGCAACGCACCTTGCAGGAGTCAAGGGAGGAGGCAGAAAAACTAGAGGTGAGCGCTGTCAGGTCTGCAAATTCTTGGTCAGTCACAGAATTGGAAACCTTAGGGACCACCGTCACTCCGACAAAGTTGACATTAGGGTATTGCAGTTCAGTTGGCTCCCAGGAGATCCAAACAGGTTTTGAAAAACCCAATATATATGGTCACCATGCACAGTCCCTCTCAGGGTGTCATCTTGACATAGGAGTGACTTGCAGACTGGTGTTTCTGCCTAGCATTCACACATATAGGAAAAACTAGCCCTGAAACACGGCATGAGTGACCCATGAGAGCAGCTGCACAAATCTGACAACACTCACCYGTATTCAGGAGTCACCCAAAAAGCACGATTATAGTTATCCCCAGTCATCACTCTGTAGTTGACTTATCTTAATATGTGATTTCAGTGGATTTATTAAGACTCAATTGTTTATACAGAAAAGCTAGCTGAGAAGAAATGCCGTGTTTGCATGGAAATTCCCTGTGGGCGATGGTGGCAGCAGGAGTGGAACATAACAACATATCGTAATCAAAACCATTCTACAATTAAACATCACTCACTAATACAGAGCTGTACAGCTGGAGAACTGCTGCAGTTCCTGATAGGCCTCTCTGAGCATGTTGTGAGATTATTTCATGACACTGGTTGTAGAACAGCAAATTTTGCTGATATCCTGAGATCAGAATAAATCCCTGGCAGCTGAAAGCCTTGAATTTAAAGCCATGCTGATGATTATGTTATGGGGCTTAATTAATGCAGGCAAAAAGGGAGTTCATTTCTCTGACAGTTTAATTCCAGCACTTTAGGGTTTCAGGCTCTTTATTTCTTCCTTCAATATTCTCCAGCCTGAGTAATATTTTTTATTTTTTTGCTTTGTTTTGTCTTGTCCAAATGTTAATTCAGTTGCTCCCACATAGGAAGTACAACTGCCACAAGCGTATTAGAGATGCTGTGTGTGTCCAGGGTGTTCTCTTCCACCTACTTCCAACTTCTCCTCCTCTTCCTTTAGGCTTAAGTAGTCACATCCCTGAGGCAGAGCAGCATGTCAGCTTGATTTCCATGCGCACTCTGGGGTGCCTTTCTGATCTCATCTGCCTTCTTGCATTTGTTTCAAGTTAGGATAATTTCTCACCCTCCTAAAATATAATAATTTCACACTGAGAACGAATGACAGTTATTGTAAACACACTATTTTTAGGTGCTTTTCTTAAAGCTGTTTTCATTCTGTACTTTTTTACCTCCTGTAACACTACAGCAGACTGCTGAAACTGCTTTTATCCTAGAAACCAACAGCATGGGTAGCAAATAATGAGATCAGGCTCTGTGAGCTATTGGCCTTTATCAGGATAGCAATCACATTTTAAGACTTAATTGAGTAAACCAAAATAAAAATTAATGATGTTTTATTTTCTGTACTAGGCTGACATTTCAAAGTATCATTTTAGTCAATCCTACTCAACATGCCATTTACCCYAAATTGAAAGGTCTCAGTACTGGGCACTTGTAGCAGAGACAGAGAAAGTGGACAGCTCCTTGCGGTG